TTTTGTCCGCTTCTTTGGCTGTCTGATGTTTTTTTCCGCCGGCACGGATGCCTCAATTAACTTACACCATTTTTCCGCATTATGCCTGAGGATGATATCCGGTTTGTTGGCAGGCACAGTTCTGTCAGTGTGGATTTGTTGATCATACAGAACTGCGGATAGACCTGCTGTCGACAGGCCAAGTAAGCCAAAATTTTATTGTGCCTTTCTAAGTATTCATGTTTTGCCAGTATCGAAAAACCGGAAATTAAATGATCGATGGTTTCCGTTTGCGATTGGGAAATTCGGCACTTGTCATCTTAGCAGACTTTTTTTCGTGCTTTTCTTATTAACATCTCAAGCGTTCACTCTTTTTAAATATTGTCCGTGTATTATTATCATTATTATTATTATTATTATTATTATTATCATGCGACGGTTTAAAATTATCATTAAATCGAACGGTGCGAACTTTATTTCGATTTGTCGGGTTTATAAAATTTTTTAAAAGGTATAAAAACTGATTATTAATTAAAAATTAACAACGAGGTTTAATCAAAGATTACCGAAGAGAAAAGATGCAAAAAAGAGAGAGAGATTAAGAGAGAGAGATAGAGAGAGAGACGGGAAAAGTTTTTTTTCAAAGAGCTTTACGTAAAGCTATAATCATTAGTTAGGTAATTAAATATCAAACCGTGAATTTAAAAAAAAAAAAAAATTTTTAATCTTCTTATCGACACATTAACGAATATTTTTGGGAAACGTTTTATCATCACGTTCGTTAATGCGTAAAATTTTTTTTTTATTTTTGCTGTTTATTTTGATGGAAAATTTTCACGCATATTTTCCATCGTTATCATTGATTGTTGATATTTCACCTGTTTAAATTAAATCAAAAAGGAAAAACCTAAATTAAATTAAAGGAAGGAAAACGATCGCCATGAAAATGTTGTTTTTCTTTTGTTAATCATATAAAAACCGGATATCGGAGACACAATCCGGAAAAATGTTGTAAACTAACGGGAGTTTCCGGACCGGAAGAAAAAAACAACCGAAAAAACGGAAGAGATGGAAGAAAAGTGGGATGTAAAAAAAGACAAAAACTATTTCGGTCATCATTTGAGCACTGGGAGCCATGACACGTTACGATTAAAAATAGAAAAAAAATTTCAAGGAGATTTTCCAAGAATTTAAAAAAGGAAAAACTCTAAAAGGAAATTATGCGTGGGACTTGAAACCTTATTTTTCAAAAGATTTTATAAATAGGACGACCGCCGCCGCCGCTGAAATTTAGAAAATCGAGTTGAAACCTGAAATAAATTTTTGTAAAAAGTCCACGTGACGAAATCAAAGTGAAAATGATGATAATAATAATAATAATATTATTACGCAATTGTATTCGTAATAATTAAATATTTATCGGGTTTGGAAAATTAAAATGAATTTTTGAAGAAAACATTACCCGCCATTTTCCGAACGCGAAATTAAAATTTTTTTTTGTTGTCGGAAAATTTGAAAACACGAAATTTATTTTAACGCGTATAACATCATCATTAATTTTTTTTCCTTTACGATTCCCGGGATAGAAAAAGGGCAGGGAAGGAGGAAGGGGAAGGAGGAGGGGGATTTTCCACGGATTTTTCAAACCGATTAAATAATTTTTTTAACATTTTTTTTTAAAATCCGAAAATGGAAAATTTACGAAACGAAAATAAACGAAACGTGTTTGTTATTTAAAAAAATTTAGGTGTTGATTTTTTTTTATGTCTGATTCCACGACAAAAATAATAGGAAAATTTTTAGTATCATCCGTGGGATTAAAATTTAAAAAGGCCAGATGTGTAAAAAAAAAAAAAAAATTTAATTGTTTGACGTTATAAAGTTATAAAATTTTACGTTAAGTTTAAAAAAAAAAATTTTTTTTTTTTTTTTCGCTCGACATTAACGAACTTTTACCCCCGGATGTGATTTATTAAAACATTTAATAAATTTTGAGGTTTCGAAACTTTTCTCACATTTTTCCATTCGCCCCCTTTCCTCCTCCTCTTTCCCCCCCCCCCCGGTGCAAACGCATAAACTTTGACGTTAATAACCCTGGAGAAAATAAGTAATTTACTTTTCCCGTTTGTTGTAAAACAACAACAACAACAAACTGACTTCAACAAATCCTTAACAGAATGAAAAATTTAACATTATTTAAAAATAAAAATTCAGGCACGAATGGTTTCCTTTGAATTCCTTTGTAGATTTTCTTTTTAGAACGCCGAGAAATATTCTTAGAACGTATAAAGTTTGGTTGTTGCCTGCCTTTTCGAATTTTTTCCCTTCTCTCTCTCTCTCTCTCTCTCTCTCGAAAGACGTGTTTATTAATTTTATTATTATTATTATTATTATTAAGTTTTATCCATTTGAAAATTTTCTGATAATGAAAAACGTGGCGTTAGGCATTAAAAAAGTCGTAAAAAAAGGGGAAAAAAAAGGGAAAAAAGGGTTTTTTCGTAAAAATTCCACCATTCTGGAAATATTTTCTCATTTTTATTATCATCATCATCATCATTTAAAAAAATAGGCTAAATGACGTCATTAGGGAGGGGGTGGGGGTGGGGTAAAATCGGTTACGAAAAAAATGAAAGGAGTTAAAATTTAAAAAATTTTATTCATTATATTCTTTCACACGCGAAAGACACGCGCACACACATCAATTAAAAGACAAAGCGGAAGTGACGTAATTGTTGGCATCGTCTTCGTCGTCTTCGTGTTGGATCATTCAGAAGAACTGTAAACGCGACAGCAAACGGTTTTCTCGCACATCATCATTTCCATGACGCCATTAACGAAAAATTCTCTTAATATCGTCACAGGTTTGGCTCCCATTTGCATTTCGACGAGTATGTTGCCATTTTCGAAAGACATTATAGTCTGAACATAATTACCATCGTAACCTTCCTGAACAAATTTTTCGCTGGGTCTGAACTTGACGTTTTTCGTTTGATGTTCGCTCGCCATCGTCAATACGTAATCATTTCCGTATTGTCTCAATTGTATCGTCGGCCTTTCTCTCACTTCCTGTTTACGTTTTAAAGGACCCGCACCGACTTCCCTAAGGAAAGCATCGTAATTATCGCTTTTTATCAGCCTGTACGTTTTGGTATAAATTTTTTTATCCATGTCTCATGTGATTTTTTTTAATTTTAATTTTGATAACCCGTGTCCGAATCGTGTTTGTAAACAAAAAAAAAAAAAAAAAAGAAAATTGTAAATTCTGCAGGGAAATTTTTCCCTCATTCTTACGTACACGTCATCGCTTCTCTCATTTTTTTTTTTTCAACGGGGAAATTTTTTCTCATTTTCATTCTTTCTCTCGTTCTCATCGTGTGTTCTTCTTTTAAATAATTAAACTTTTTTTTTTCTTTTTCTTTTTCTTTCTTCGAATTTCTTTTTCTTTCTTTTTTAAAAATAAATAAATAAATAAATAAATGTTTAATACCGCGAAAAGAAAAAAAATTCTTTTAAAAAAATAAAAAGGGAAAAATATGTTTCGTTAAAAAAAAATTTTTTTTTTTTTTACTGAACAATAAAATGCTGGAAAAGGTTGTGACGTTTTACATTTCGTTCGTTTTTCCTTTTTTTCGGGGGAGGGAAGGGTGGGGAAGGAAGTGGGGGGTAGGAAAAAAGTTTACGCGAAAAATTCAATTTAAACTTTTTTTATTTATGAGTATGCATAAAGATAATTTTTTTTATATTTTTTTTATAGGCTTCATAGATATGCTAAAGCAGCAGCGAATGTAGATTATCCGGCATATGGTGTCACAGGTCCAAATAAAGATTTTTCACCAACTTCCGGTGATAGAAGATTAGCACAGTCCGCCCAAATGTATCATTATCAACATCAGAAACAGCAAATAATTGCGATGGAAAGGTTAGATTGGGAAAAACAAAAGTAAATTTTTCTCCCCATTTTTCTAAAAATTTAATTTTATATTTTTTTTTTTCTATGGAAAAGCGCAAACAATTCCGGAAGACGTTGTTCCATTTCCGATGCGGAAAGCGAAGAAGAAAACGAAGAAGGTGATTATACAGTTTACGAATGTCCTGGATTAGCACCGGTAAGACAAATCAAAAAAAATAAAAAAAAATAAAAAAATATTGATTAATATTTCTCCGGTTACATTTTCGTGACAACCTCATTCATTTTAATAATAATAATAATAATAATAATAATAAGAATTATCATCATCATTATTACTTCAAAAGTCGTTTTTTTCCTTCATTAATTTCTTATATCCCAAAAAAAAATTTCTTTTTTTTAACCTTTCCAGAACAATAATCAAAAAGTATAATTTTCCAATAAAAAAAGGAAAAGGAAAAAAGAAAATAATAATAATAATAATAGCATGTCGTCATCCCTGTACGCCTTTAAACAAAAAAAATTCAGCCTTGTTCAGAAGAAACAAAACAGAAAAAAGAAAAGAAAATTTTTTTTTTTTTGTAATTTTCCTCATTTTAAATACGGCAAGTGTACAATTAAAAAAAAAAAAATTATCATTATTATTATCATCATCATTATCGTAAATTTAATTAGTAATATTATTATCATCATCAAAATTTTTTTTTTTTTGAATTTTAAAATTCCCAGTTTTTTTTATTTTCAAGTTATGACGTTATAGTTTTAATTTTTTCGAAAAAAAGGTTGTGATAAAATTTTTAATGGGAAATTTATTATTATTATTATTATTATTATTATGATTTTCAGACTGGAGAAATGGAAGTGAAAAATCCACTTTTTCAAGATGAAAAAACATCGGATAACGTTAAAACAACGGATACGGATAAAATGAATGAGAGTCGGGAAGTTAAATAAAAAATAATCATATGGAAAATGATAACTACAAAAACTACAATTATTATCACTACTACCACCACCACCACCATCTTCATCATCACGATGATAACATCATATATATATATAAGAATATTAATGTCAATTGTATTAATCAAACTACAAAAACTACAAAAAATTAGATATTAGTCTTTATTATGATAACGAATTTTTTTTTTTTTTTTTGTTAAAAAGGAAACTCGTCGTGGTTCACTTAAAAACATTTTTTTTTTTTTTTGTTATTTTAAAGGGAAAAAGTTTAATGATGATGATAATAATAATAATAATAATGATTGATATCATATATATGTTAAAACGTTTTCGAGAAGTTTCGATCAATAAAAAAAAAAAAATGTCGTTCGTTTTGTATTGATTCTTTTTTCTTTTTTTTTAAAACAAAAATTCGGTGTTGGGGAATTATTATTATTATTATCATTATCATTATTATCATTATTATTATTATTAAGGTAAAAAACAAACAAAGCGACGACGTGATCGAATAATTTTTTTTTATATATATATATTATGTGATATATTTTATTAATTTTATTTTTTTTTATTAACGTACTTTTAATTAAAACTTTTTTGTTTGTTTCTCTCTCTCTCTCTCTCGTTCTCTCTCTTTGTTTTCTCTCACATGAGTTGTTTAATTAAATAATTTAAATTTATTAAAAATAAAATTAATTAATTAATTAATTATTATAATTATATTTATATATTTTATATAGAGACATACAAAAAAAAATTTTTATTAATGTTTAATTGTTTTATCATTGTTTTCCCCCGCCCCCTCCTTGTATGTATTTGTTTGTTTTGTTAAGTTGGCATTAATGGATTTAAATTTAAATTTTTTTTTTTTTTTTTTAAAGACAGTTTAACCGTTAATTGATAAACATAAAACAAAAAAAAAAAGAATTTAAAGTGAACCACTTTTAAAAAATTTTTGTTTTAATATTATTATTATTATTTATATATAAATATATATATTTAATTATTATTACAGAAATTGTTTATAATAATAATAATAATAGCCTTAATATTCAAAAAAATGAAACATTAATATCTTTAATATCGTATTTATTTATAAGACTGTTTTTTTAAATATGATTAATTATTTTGAGAGAGAAAAATTTGGAAAAATGTCTAACGTTTTTTTTTTTTTTAAAGGCAGGAATACTTAAATAATACATTTAATTATTATTATTATTAAAATTTATTAGCATTTCTTTTTTTTGTTTTTTCATAAAACTGTTGAGTGCATTTTATATAGTTTATTTAAAAAATATATATGTTATAAAATATAAGAAAAGTTTTAACGATGATGATTATTAATTACGTTTGTAATTAATCGTTGTCGTTTTTCTTTTCCCATCCTCCCCCCCCTCCCCCAAATATTCAATTATATTATTACGAAATGTATACAATTATGTTTTAAAATGAGGTATAAATAAAAAATTATTTAATAAATTTCACTTATTAATATTTATTTGTTATTATTTCAAAGGTATTAATTTTTAAAAAAATAAAAGAAAACCGTTATGTAAAATTTGTAATTGAATGTTTATATCGGAGCGGCCATTTTGAATCGAAACGGAATTATCTATATACACGACAGAGGTCGCGCCATTCGCTTTTCAAGTTCCACGACGTTCGATCGGATAAAACGCTCGTTGGCGTTGCCATGAAATAAAAATGTTTGTTTAATAATTTCATTGCATTTTAGTTCGAGTCAGATACCGGTTCGTGTATATTTTCATTCTTTTTTTTTTTTTTTAATATATATTTTCTTTATTTATTTAATTTTTTTTTGTCAATATAAAAAAAATTCGTTGGAAAAGTTCGTTATCAAATTTATTATTATTATTATTATTATGTTTTACATTTTACATTTATTGTAATTAATTTTTACACAAAGTTATCGACAACAACAACGGGACGACGAGGTATTCATGAGTTATTTATGTATAAATGTTTAATTAATTAATTAAAAAACTGTTTTATATATACATACATATATAAAATTTTAATATTCTGGTATAATTTTCACATAAATATTTCAAACAGTTGAAAGAAAATCTTCAAAAGACGTAAGTTAATTATTATTATTATTAATACTCTTAAACTCAAAATGAAATGTCTTAATTTTTTGACAGTTGTTGAATTTAACAACCAATTTATATTGAATTCTTTCAAACAATTGTCAAAATTACTTTTTTTTTAGGTTTTAATTTTAATTTTATTTCCATTATGGCTTCTTTTGGTCATTTTATCTATATATTATTTGATTTAGTGTGATTTTTATTTTTAATTTTCCAATTAGGCAATTATTACTCGGTTTACTTTGCTACAAAGCAATAATTTTATTTGTTTTCATTACTCATGTTACAAAATGAAGTTGTTTTTTATTTTTTTTAAATTTATTTATTTATATTCATTTTTATTTTGGTTAAATGATATTTGGGTATTTATTTGGCAAACATTTTTTTGTTTATTTGTCATTCATTTCCTGTAAACAAAAAAAGTTTACTTTAGTGGAAAAATTACTAATTTTTGTCAATATCGAGTATTTGGGTATTTTTTTCAAATTGTCTGTCGTTATTAATCTCAATCGAGGAAAAATATTCATTTGATTTTTTTCATTTGATGCCATCTAATGTTTAGTTTAATCTTTTCAATATTTTAATTATATGTTTATGAAACATCAGACAAATACTTTTTAAAAAAAAAAAAAAAAAAAAAACAACTTGCCCTTGTTGTTTAATTAAAATTTGTTTTGTTTCCAATTGATAAAAATCCAACGAATAATATTTAATTAAGTTATAAATAATTAAAATCAAGACTTAAAAATTTGTCCAGGTATATAGGTATATAAATAATAATGTAATTTTTCTGGTTTTTCAAGTAATATGTATTTTTTTTTTTGTTTCGAATAAAAAAAAGTGAAAGGAGGTAATGACACAAATTACTTTCTAATTATTTTTTTCGTCTTCTCAGATTTTTTATCATCATCATCATCATTTTATTTTATTTATTTATTTTTTACATAAACAAATTAAAAATAACAACAAATTTGATAAAATGAAGAGAAAAAAAATGCATAGTAAAATAAAATTATAATAATAATTATTATTATAATGATAAACTCTAAATTTGATTACATAATTTGCTATGATTGAAAGCGATTATTATTATTATTATTATTATTATTATTATTATTATTATTATTTAAAATCTTTTAAAATTTGATTTATTAATGCCATTGAAAAAGGAAATTATATATTTTTCCAGTTTAATAAATTTTTACATCAATTTTTCAAAATTAATTAATTATCGAATTGTATGATATTGTGCATGTGTGTGTGTTATGTGATAGTAAAATTGAAAATTATTCGGTTTGGTAAACACAAACACAAACAAACAAACGATATCATCATCATCATCATCATGATGTCATTGCATGTCATGAAATTTTTATTTATTTTATTATTAAACAAATTGTATTTATTAATTTATCTTTTATAATAATAAATTTTCATTGTTTTTTTTTTTTTGTGTGTGTATATTCAACATCTGTAAATATTAATTAGAATTGTTGTTATGAATTAAATTTAATTTATAATTCGATTGTTTGTTTGTTTGTTTGTTTGTTTGTTTTAATAAGAAATTAATTTTTTGTTTTCTATTACTAGATGAAATGTAGGTATGAATGAACGCCATCATGATCAAAAAAAAAGAAATTTCAACCCTTGGGTGGTTTTGTGTATGTGATCACCCTTTGATTTATTAAAATTATTTATGATAATGTCTTATCAATGTCACAACAACAACAACAACAACTTAAATGCATTTTTTCTTACTTGAAATAAAAAAAAAAAAAATGTATAGAGACGCCATTAAAAAATATTAATCATAATTTTTTGTACATAAAAGTTAGTTTAAGGGAAAGCGTTATTAATTAATGACAGTTGTTTTGTTTCGCCTTTTTATTTTATTTATTTTATGTACATAATATTATTTGATAAATGTAGTAGTAATAAAAAAAAAATAATAATAATAATATAAAAAATGTAATTGATGCGAGAGGGAAAATAAAAAATAATAAAAAAAAAAAAATCTTGTTTGAATGTTTTAAGTCGGTCAAGTCCATTACCCCGAGTACAACATAATAATAATAATAATAATAATAATAATAATAATAACAATAAGTAAAAGATGATGATGATGATGGAGGAGAAGATGAAGAAAAAAGTTACGATGGGTTTTTTTTTTTTTTACGGACCCACCGTAAAGAGTTTACGAGTGTTAACCTTTTTGTCGTAAAACTTTGTCTGATAAAACAAAAAGGCGTGAATATGGCGTTTGTATGTGTATATATATATATATAGATTATTATTTTTCTCGTTGTTATCGATTTATTTATTTTTGTTTTATTTAAGTAGAATTTAACGATTGGAATATGTAGGGATTCGAAAGAATCGAGGAGGAGGAGGAAGTTGGGGGTGGAAAAAAAAATCGAACTTCATGATACAATTTTTTTTCAATTCGTTTTCGTCCTCCCTGGATAAATAATGAGAATGAATAAAATATTTGCCTGGGTGTGTGTGTGTGTGTGTGTGTGTATCTCTCTCTCTGTATGTGTGTGTGTGTGTATCTCTCTCTCTGTATGTGTGTGTGTGTGTATCTCTCTCTCTGTATGTGTGTGTGTGTGTATCTCTCTCTCTGTATGTGTGTGTGTATCTTTTTCTCTCTCTTTCTGTGTAAAGTGTGTGTAGGTGTGTTCCTCTGTGTTGTGTGTGTGTGTGTGTGTGTGAGTATGTGTCTCTCTTACTCTTTCTCTGTGTGGGTGTGAGTCTCTCTCTCTCTCTCATTTCTAATTTTTTTCTTTTTATAAATATCGGATTTTGTCGACTTGCGGTTCAACAAAAAAAAATTAAAGATGAAGATTTATTTTTTCCAAAATAAATTTTTGTCCTGTTAATCAT